CATTGGGTAATTATTAAATATTATTAATTAATAACATATATAATTAATGTGTGTGTATGTATGTATACCTGATGCTTGTACCACGGTATAAAATGAGAGTCCACCAATGCATCAATTTCATTGTCAGGGAATGTTGAGTACTCCGCTCTAAATTCACTGTGAAGTCAAACATGAAAATATTATAAATCAACTACCTTAATTGTATATATATTACAAAGATAACTACAAATTTAACTTACTGATAAAACAGTAAGATTTCTGGACAATTAATGAGCATATAAGTATGCGCAATTTGTAATTCTTTTCCCACGATGTATCGGTTTGTCCAAGCTCCTTTACCTCTACCTGGGTAATTGAAAATGGAAACTACATTTTCATATAAATCCTCGCCAATGTCATCGTTTCGGGCAGGTCTCTTTCTTCTAGTGATGACTTCACGCTCAAAATAAAAAGATGAGAACGTTGGGATTTCTTGTTGAAGATATGCTTGACAAATTGAAGCCTCAACGTGTGCCTTGTTGGTCACTTTCTTTTTCAACTCTCCAAGAATACTGCAAAGTAAAATAAAAGTGGTACACCGATTAATGTTGTTATGAAATAAATATTCAAAGATAAATGAAATTGTGACTAACCTTTCAAATCTGTACATCCAGCGATAGAAGACGGGTCCACCATTTAAAGCCTCATACGGAAGATGTATTACAAGATGTTCCATTCCATCGAAAAACGATGGAGGCATTATCTTTTCCAAATTACACATCAGCATGGGAACAGACTCTTCTAGTCTACGGAGGGATGCTGCATCCAAAACGCTTGAGCATATCGACTGAAACAACAAACTGATCTCAGTAATGCAGGACCATACGTGTTCAGGAAGCATCTCTTTCAATGCAATTGGGAGAAGTCTTTGCATGATTACATGACAATCGTGAGTTTTCATGCTCGACGTCGTTGCAAGTTTGTCCATGTCCACGCATCTGGACAAGTTGGAGCAGTAGCCATCTGGAAACTTCAGAGACACAAGCCATTGTAATATTGATTCTTTTTGTGCTTGTGTGACTTGGTAGACTGCTTTTGGAATATTGTTGCCCTGATATTCTAGATCAACAGATAGTTCGGGCCTATCACACCAAATAGTCATATCTTTTCGAGATGCAAGACCGTCTTTAGTTTTACCTTTGAAATCCATCTCATTTCAGCAGGGTCTCCCCACGCACTCATCTCTGCAGGGACGTTACGAGACGAACCTACCGTTTGTGTTAAAACAGATGGATCCAAAGGTTCGCCATGAGAAGTCCAATTGTAATAATTGGGAAGGAAACCTCCGCGTACAAATCCCACCCAACTTCGTCTGGGTGTTTAAATTTGAGATTTTTACACTTTGAACATGAACATCTGATATTATCACCACTCATATAAGCCGGGTGTTCAAGTGCGAATTTAATAAACTCCTCAACTCCTTCAAGAAAATTTGATTGCATTCCGTACAATACCGCATGTTTATCATACATCCAAATTCTATTTTGTCTATACATTATGCCTGAATATTATAATAAAAAAATTATACAGGTTAAAAACTCTAAATTATAAACATTACCAACATATTATATGTGGAGTATTATTAATATATTAAAATTAACTAATTCCCTAAAATTCCCTTAAAATTAACTAACTTCCTTAAATTTCACTAAATTTCACCAAAATTCCCTTAAAATTAACTAATTCCCTAAAATTCTCTTAAAATTAACTAATTCCCTAAAATTCCCTTAAAATTAACTAATTCCCTTAAAATTAACTAGTTTACTTAAATTTCACTAAAATTCACTAAAATTTCCTTAAAATTAACTAATTCCCTAAAATTCCCTTAAAATTAACTAATTCCCTTAAAATTAACTAGTTTCCTTAAATTTCACTAAAATTCACTAAAATTCCCTTAAAATTAACTAATTCCCTTAAATTTCACTAAATTTCACTAAAATTTCCTTAAAATTAACTAATTCCCTAAAATTCCCTTAAAATTAACTAATTCCATTAAAATTAACTAGTTTCCTTAAATTTCACTAAAATTCACTTAAAATTAACTAATTCCCTAAAATTCCCTTAAAATTAACTAGTTTCCTTAAACTTCACTAAAATTCACTTAAAATTAACTAATTCCTTAAAATTCCCTTAAAATTAACTAATTCCCTTAAAATTAACTAATTGCCTAAAATTTCACTAAAATTCACTAAAATTCACTAAAATTCCATTAAAATTAACTAACGTCCAATAATTAATATTATTAAACTATAAACATGCACAATACGTTAATGGCATTAATTTAATCCACAATACTAAAATTATCAACATCTTAATCTTATTAATAATGCACATTTAACACTTTACTAAATTAAATAATATGAGCAAATCCAATAATTTGAGCATATATATATAATAAACACATTTAAATTAAATTAACTAACCCTAATTTAAATCATTATTAATCCTAAATTAGGCCGCCTTAATTAACAATAATTGCCAATATAAAGAAATCATATACTTATATTTAATCATATATATATATATATGATTAAATAATATGCATTTAAATTATATTTAATCATATATACTTACATATGTATTTAACTAATTTACGTAATTTTAACCCCATATTTTAAAATTAATAACATATGTATTGCCAATATTATATTTAATAATATACTTATTACATATGTATTTATTAACAAATTTACATATTTAACTAATTTACAAAAAATACGTAATTCAAATTACATACCTTATCTGCATAAACAGGAAAAATGATATGAGATGGGTAGATTACATCCTTCAATTCTATCTGGAATTCTATCTGGAGTAGATGGTGTGATTTTGTTGAATGAAACGGAGGCTGCATATATAAAATTTGTAGTCACGGACTTAGTCACGGATGTGTCCGTGACTACATTTTTTGTACGAATTGTCGGTGTCCGTGACTAACTGTAGTCACGGTACTAGTCACGGAACCATCCGTGACTAATTTCAAATTTAAAAAAAATCCCGCCAGAGGCGAAAATGGGTTGGCCGGAACACTTTAGTCACGGACTAGGTCCGTCACTACCTATAGTCACGGACCAAATCCGTGACTACGGTTCGTGACTACATGCGAATTTTTTTGTAGTGCTCCTCCTATCAGGTTGACCTTTTAGGATGGAACCTCGAGTCTTAACATGGTATCAGAGCCACAGGTTGATCCATGGTGTGGACCCCCTTATGAAATATGATTGACACGATTATAAAAAAATGACAATGATGATCTGATGAAAAAATTGAATGACGGCGCGATCCAGACGAAGTGTCTAGTCATGAAGTCCCACACCGGATATTTGTGAACTAATGATGTGCTATATTAAGATTCATGTTTCTCCTCCTATCAAGTTGACCTTTTATGATATGCACCACTTTGTGTTGTTTTTATGATTTGAATAATATGCAACACTTTGAACTTCAATATGCTATACAAATAATGTAAAGATGCACAGTTTGTACGTTAACATGAGAGGACTAATTTGTATGTGATCACACTCCTTTATTAATAAATGTTAAATTTATTAAATAATACTACGTATCAAATTTATGAGGTTAAATAAAAAAAACTGTCTACATACCCAAGACATCGCATCATACCATTCAGAAGTTTATTGTTTCTATTTAACTACAAGTTTATATATTGTTATATATACGAAAAATATTGTTAATTTAATACGTGTAGTAATATATAAAATATTGTAATAAAATATTGTTATACATTGGAAAAATATTGTTAATTTAATACGTGTAGTAATACTCCGTATATAAAACTAGGGCTGGAATTTTTAACCAAAAAATCGAAAACCGAACCGAAAAAAACCGAACCGAGCGATAAAAAAATCGATCTGAAACCGAACCGACTTTAATGGGACCGAAAGTTGGGACCCAAACAAAAATCGGTTCGGGACCGGTTCTTTGATATTGATAATCGGTTCAAACCGAACAGAACCGATTTTTTTATTAAATAATACAGAGTAGTTTTTAATTATTTTATTTAATTTGTATAGATTTAATGTATTTTATACATTAAGCGTCCCTAAGTGTCAATACTCCGAAGTAGCTCAGCGGTAAGTCTTCGCGCGTCTTCTGTCACCCGAGTTCGAATCCTACCCCTACGTCTTATTCCCTTGAATTTTTTGCTTTGCGTCAATCCCAACTTTCCATTTGGTTTTTCTTCCGTGTATAATGCTTCCCACACCTGATGGAGTAGAGAGTTTACTCCTCCTATCAACCTATATAATCGCCCCTCCATGGCTATTCAAAAATAATTTTCTAGTTAAGCTTCAGGACGAGTACTAGGTATTGAATATACAAATGTTTAAAGATCATTCGGTTTTTTCACAAAAACCGAAAAACCGGACTGAAAATTCGGTTTTCGAAAAATTGGGTCCCAACAATGTTCGGTTCGGTTTCGGGTTATAGAATACTACCTCCATCCTGGTCATTTCTTCCGGTTTTGACCGGTATCGCAAATTTAGGTAGTAGGAATAAAGTGAAAATGTATGGTTGTAGTTGTCTAAGAAAAAGATGAATGAATGTGAACCACATATTTTTTCCAAAAGTGGAAGTTGGAAGAATTAATTGGGATGGCCCAAAAAGGAAAGTTGAAAGAAAGTATAAGAAACCAAAAGACGGGTTCAGTTTGGATATTTCCCATTTTGGTTCGGTTCCGGAGCCTGGCCCTATATAAAACTGTTTTGGGAAAACTAGATAACTTTAAAAGTCAAAACAAAAAACCGGGTGCCTTTAAAAATTTTAAAGTAGTCCGATTGAGTCGTATATAAATTTTAAACATGGTGTTCTACAGTCTAATAGTCGTGGACATTTGAAAGATATATAATCGGAATGAAGTGAGTATTACGTACGATCACATGCATTTAGGAAGAACAAAATTAAAACTGTATTTGATTATTTAATTTAATTAATGAAAGTAGGAGACAATGAAAGTGGCACGAAGACCATGGTTTGTACTGTACTACACTAACTAATTGACGACGACAGGAGGGCTTGGAATGGGCTGAAACGAGCCGCCGACATGATCAGCTGGGGGCGATGATTCGGCGGCGTCGCAATAACCTCTGAGAATGTCGGATTCCTCCGGAGAAACGCCGATGCCAGAGAGCACAGCCGGCCAGCAGTGGCGAGTGATGGTGGTGATGGCTTGGCAGCACTCTGGACCAATGTCTATCGTCCCGTTGATGAAGTAAGCCTCAATCTCACTCATGCAAGACTTTATCTCCCACAGAGCATCCCAACACCCGGGTGAATCGGTTTCCAACCGGCTCCCGGCTGAAAACCCGACGACCGGCACTGACGTTGCCGGAATCTCTCTTCCGTGAGCGGAAGAAGCACGATTCGAATTCGCGATGACGAACAGAAACCAGAGAGAAACAATCCATTTCATCTCACCCATTGATTTGGAGATCGCGGAAGCTAGGTTGATGGGAATATGATGATCAGCATCGATAGATCAATTTATATATATTGAGAGATTTACTTGGGGCCGGGGAATCGAAGCTGAATAGTTCACGGATTGATTTTTTCCCACTCCCAAATAAATATTGGAATTCAGAGAGGTACGTAGCTAGTATCGAATAAAACTGCTCATTTCGAAAGGTTTGTAACGTACGTACGTGGTTATTTCAAAGATCGATGAGTCTGCATGCAGACACCTACTTAGTAACATTGTAATTGCTTCAATTGCTGAATCTAATTAAATTTGTGAAATTCTAATTTAAATCATTAGTTTGACTAAACGTCTACAATTATGAAAAATCATATTTACAAGCGCAAATGGTTGTAAATAGGAGAAACGAAGATTGAATGTGCACACGTAGGTCCGGTGGTGCTCCGGCTGGCGGTCCGGTGGTGGTCCGGGCCCAAGGGCGGAGCCAGGACATTGGGCCGGACTGGACCGATGCAAAGAATATTTTTGAATTTTTTTTACACGGAATTTTTTACCCTAAATATATAGTCATTTTTAAAATTTAGGCTGGGCCAGGGCCAGGGCTAGCCCTCCCATAGCTCCGCCCCTGTGTCCGGCGGTTGTCCAGTAGAGGTCCGATGGTGGTCCGGCTTACTCTCAGCGACAATATGTGTTGCTAAGCTTTAGGGTATTTGTGTCTAACTACAAACAAATAATAACTCTTATTTTGGGAAATTTTAAACTTTAATCCTATTTTAATCATATTTTGGTAAATATCCCTATTTACATATTATGGAACTTTAAGAAATATCGATTTGTTAATTTGATTTAAAAATATTAAAGAATTCAATTACATTATAATATATTTTCTTAATTGGAGCATCTAATTATATATTCTAAATCTAAATACACAAATAAAGTTATATTTATTTTTTAGATACATAAAACCAAGAGAAAAATGAATACTTATACCTTTAAAGGTGAAAATCTTTGATGTGTGTCCGAAAATGATCAGAAAAACGTAAAATTTGATCAATTTGAAACTTTAATGTCCGATATAAGACACACGAGTAACTATAATGTTCAATTTAGTACATTTAAAATTTTAATGTCCAATATAAGATTCTCAAACAACCGTGTTCAATTTGACTTCAATTTGACCCTTGTCCCTAATTAAAACCATATTCCCAAAATGACTTGACGCCACTTTGCCTTCTTCGGGCCCTAAACCCACGCTGCTTCACGCCTTCCCCTCTGTGATTAAACTTCAGAAAGCCTCTACTGTCTGCGCCGCCCGGTTTCTACTCCGCCGCCGCCGCCTCTCTTTGCAGGTTTCGTCTCCTCCATCGACACCTCTCTTCGCCAATTTCTGATAGTCAAGTGGGTAACAGGTTTTTGGTTCTTCTTCTTCTTATTTCTTTTTCAGCTTCATCTTCTTCTTTTGTTCTTCCGGTCTCCTTCTTTGTCCTCTCTTTCTTCCTCTTTTGATATTTCTGTTTTCTATCTAAGATTTGAAATCATAGATCCGAAAATGCAAGGCTTTTGTCTGTTTTTATGATCTGTAAAATCGATCCGAAAATTCAAGGCTTTGTTGGAGTTAACCGTTGTTTATAATTTCATCATGTTTACCCCCTTCGTCCCAATTTGTTTTGAAAAGTCAACATTTTTTTGTCAACCAATAATAAAAGTTGTAAACTCCAAATTAGAACATAATTAAAAATTGACATCCAAATTAAGTGAACAAAACGAAACTATTTGACTAAGAAAAGTCAAATTTGCATCTCTTTTTGGAACGGAGGTAGTAATTTAGTTTATTTTGAGACATTGATGCATTTTAGACTAAAATCTGAGTGCACGACGGGATGACAAATGCCAAGTAGTGTGCGTCGCGTGGCACCGTGCATGTGTTGTAGCGCTACTAATATGCAGTGCGGGCTATAGTGGGGAGGCACGTAGGCATATGCCTAGGACACCACTATCATGTGGGGCACCAATTTTTAAAAATAAAATTATTATTGCTATATATTTGTATTTTATATTCTTAGATTTATTAATTAAAAATTGTGTTCTTAATTTATTCATTATAAATATTGAGAAGTTTGTAATACAACTAATTATAATTAAGTACTACCCACTACATCATTGCTATTTTCTTCTATAAATTTTGTTAGAAATTATTTAATAAAAAAATAACTTCAATTGTACTACCTTCATTCCAGAGGGTTCATCTCCAGTATTCATCCGACTAAAATTATTTTTAATCTTTCACTTTATATATCCGACTATTATCATATTTGAGTTTTTTGTGGCTTTATATAACTTTTAATGTAGTTTCTTTAGATGTAAACTCTACTTATTAAAAATAATCTTATTATTGATAGAGCTCAGTTAACTTTATAGTCAGTCGAATATCATAAATCGAAATGAGAATCTTTAATTTACTCGGGAAGGAGGGAGTCTCCCTTAATAAATAAGTGGTCTAGCTGTGTCTTTAATAGAAAAATGTTTTATTTACCTTTAATTATGTTAAAATTAACAAATTTTACATTTCAGAAGGCAAGCATTAAAGAATAGATCATTAAAAGTAGTCTTTTTATTTTTTTGTACTACAAAGATATACATGTTTCAGATTTTATATGATTTGTTTGTGACTTTAAATTTATCATCGCTATCTACCTTTTATTATTTATATAATCAACTATACATTATATACAATTATTGTATAAGACATTATTAACTAATATGAAGAGATAATTTTAGTTTTTGTCTGGGGCACCAAACATACTTAAGACGACCCTGCTGATATGCGTATGTGCCGTTACATGAGTGTCAGTCTAATTTAGGTCAATTAGTTAAATTGCACATTTGCACATAAGTTATTGCGCATGCATGTAATACCTTCCTAATATCATCTGTCCGTGTGTAGTGGTGTGTGAATGCCTTAGTGGAACAGCGGGTGGTTACCTACGTGGGTGTGTGAGTCTAGCTATATATGTTTGTATTCATCAGTTTGATTTATTTTAAGTGAACGAGATCCCATGAAAAGGAGAGCTATGTATAGTATTCTTCAAAACATTCCCTTCATATGATATTTCCTTCCTAAAGCACCAACTACATAGAGCAAAAAGCAACGTACGTATGTATTTATTTTAATTAGCAAACCCAACAGGCTTGAATAATTCGTGTTTGTTAATTTTTTAATAACTAATTTCGATTCATTTATTTTCTAATAAAAGCAATATTGATTTTTCTTCATTATTTTCAAACTAAAATTTTCACTTAAAACTTATTGCCATTTTTATGACATTTTATTCATATATGAAGGTGGCAATGTTACTCCGTATTACTTATTAGCTCCTTTGAAATGCAGTAACTGTAGTGCCTTGTTTTGGATGTGAAATTGTCATTTTTATGGCACTGATTTTATGAAGAGAGCAATATTGTTTTTAATGCCATGATTTGCAAATGTCATATTTATGGACTATTGGACTATGAATGCCATAGTTTTAGACGAGAAGTGCCATATTTTACACAATAATGCCATTATGTTTAACATGACATTAATCAAGATTCTTTCACTTAAGATGATAATGTGGTAATAATAACTTCTATTTGTGCACATAGTCATTGTTTTACTCCTATTAAGGTAATTAAACCAACTTAAGATGATAATGTGGTAATAATAACTTCTGAAATATATAATAAAGATTCTTTCACTTGGACAAGTTTAAGATCAAACATTTAGAGACTTATCCATCTATATACAAAACGTCGTGGTAATAATTTCTGTCACAAGTCTCATAATTAGCTCAAGTCATATTTTACCAGGCTTTGGTTCGTGTTTGGTATTTTTAGAGCCAAAATTGGGGAATTTACCCGACACCGGCATTTGAGAAGTAATTGGGATGAGTCGAGACGTTAATTGAGAGTGGATTAAGAGCTTTGGAGGTCAATGAGATGTTTAAGATTAAGATTTGAGGACAAAAGAACTCTAGGAGTGATCGCAGTACCGAACGAAAGCATAAAGAGCAAGAAAACAGAAGAAAACGATGAAAATAGGCCACACACGTCGTGCCTGCCATGGAGGCACGCCGTGCGTGCGTGACAGAGAGCTCAAGACGAGGAACGAAGTTAGGCATGACGTGTGCACAGGGAGGCACGTCGTGCCTGGATGCCGAGCACACCGTGCCCGTCAGATTTACGCAACCTGTGCTCGGGATGCACAGACGCCAGGCACGCCGTGCCTGGGCACCGTGCGTGCGCCTCTGCAGTCCCGATTTGGCCCGAAATCCACTGTTTTCTATTTATACAGCCTGTAAACCCTTGTTTTCAGGTTACGGAGCTTAGAGAGAGGTCTAGGACGAATTTTTCATTACTTTTCTGCTTTGTTATGCAAGACCATGAGATTATTTGTAAGTTCCATCTTTTTAGTTAATGACAATTAATTCTATTCATCTCAATTCTGTTAATTGCTCAATTATGAATTGTGAGTAATTTTAATTAGGGATTTGGGATTGATGAAGGAGTTAATCATGATCTAGGGTTAATTTATTGAGGGATTAATTGTATGAACTTTATTTAATATGTGTTTGAATAATTTAATTGATATCTTTTGTAATCTAGAACAACTTCTAGGATTATAATTGCATATAAAAAATTAAGAGAAATCTAATTTATTCTATGACACTTTCGCACACACTTAATCGTTCGCTAAGAGATTAACACGTTTCTAGGGAGTTGTAAGCTCGCTCTTTTTGGCAATAATTTAGGAACATGTCGCATGAGAGATCAGTCTGGTTCCCTAAATTATTGTACTCTAAGCCGCGAGAGCGATAAGAAATTAGTATTGATTTGTGTTGCTCAATTAAATAATTTTCATGTGATTAAGCTTTATCAACCCCTAAATCTAATTACCCCGGAATCATTCCTTGTTCCCTTCCGTCATTAATTAGAAAGAACCCTTTAAATTAACTGCTTTTCGCATTTTAAATTTTTCAAAAATATAAATTTCGC